TGGGAGACACCCAGCTTGGCTCTGAGCTGGCGGGAAGACCTCAGCCAGCAGAAGGAAATCTTTTGGCCACAGAGCCGTTTTCCTTTGTGTGGGTCCCCCCCCCTAAAAAAGGGCCGGAGAGGAGAGGGACCAGTGGGATCAGGGGCCTGAGTGGCCCCGCTTTTGGGAAGTGGGGGCTTCTCAAAGTGTGAAGAAAAAAACAAAACAAAACAAAACACCCACATACAAGCAAGGGAGAGGCCTCAATATCCCACATCTCTGCCTTGGGCCAGGATGAGTACCACCCGCTGAAAAGTGGTTTCTGCAATTACATGAGAATAAACAACCAATTAAAACATCTCCCTGCCCCTGCCCCACCCCTGTCTTCCTCTCCTGAAGCTTTCTCAGCCTGGAGCAAAGGGGCAAGGAGGTGACTTTCCCTAATAGCGTTTGTGTTCTCTGCCCGAGAGAACGCTTGATGGAAATGGACAGATCAATTAGAAGATAATAAATAATGTGGAAAGGGCCGATCCAGGAAAATCTTGGCTTCTCTGTGTTTTCATTCTCCTCCCACACATTGTTTCCTTTCACAGTGGCCCTGAGTGAGCTTGGACTTGAGGGTGAGGTTGAGGGAAGAATTGGACACATCTAGATTTGGACTTGGCCTTGTCTGTATTTATGTGATCTCTGAACCCCTGTTCCTTCATCTGCAAGATGGGGATAAATAATAGGAATTGCCAAACATTTCCCGAGGGTTTCTACGTGCCAGGTATTATTCTAAGCCCTTTACACTTTCTTTATTAACATCCTAAATCCTCAGAACAACTCTATGAGGTAGATACTATTATCATCCTTGTTTTGTGTATGAAGAAACTGGGGTGCAGGAAGTTAAGTAAATAGCCCAAGGTGACCCAGACATCCATCCAGTGGAAGAGCTGGATTCAAACCCAGCACTCTGGCTTGAGAACGAGCCATCCTACCCACTCTGCTACGTGACTTCAAATACTGCAAAGAGATGGGACAACAGGTGTAGCTAGCACAGGGGCTGGCACACAGCAGGAGCTTACTGCATGCTGTCTTTCGCATTCCTCATCCCCACTCGGATCAGAAAACTCATTCAAACTCCTCGTGAGGCTTCTAGCCTAAAAAGCTGAAGTTGGGATCTCTGGGGAGAGGAGGTATAGCGGCAAAATTTCGGGTCAATATTTCAGCTTCCGTGGCTGTCCTTGGAATTACTAGTCAGCTCAACCTATACACAGATGTGCCCTTTCTAGGCCTTGCTTGTGTCTCTAACTCCTGCTCACCTTTTTTTGGAAAAGCTGCGAAAACTATGGTCACCTGACTATCACGGGCTCTTGATCACATGGGTGGCCAGGAGGGCACTGTAGGTCTCAGACATATCCAATTGCCGTCGGAGTAGAGGTGTAGGTTTGTGACCCATAGAAATGCCCTGGGAAGCACCAGGCAGCTGTTATTAATCCCAGTATATTGATGAGGAAACTGAGGCCTCACAGGAGGGAAGTGCTGAAGCTGAGACTGGGACCTAACTAAATGTTTTAGATTTTCTCTTTCCCAATGTAAATTCGGCTCCATCAGCATCTCCTGAGTGCTTGCCCAGTGTCAAGCCCTGTGCAGAGAACTGGGTAAACAGAGATGAATTAGGCACATTCCCTGCCCCCTGGGAGCCACAGACAGTGGTAGATACAGACAGGTAGAGTATTTGGAATGGTGTGAGAGCGAGTACTCTCATAGGAGGTAGATGAGTACAGAGATGGTAAAGGGGGTGGAGGTGAGATGGGACTCAGGGAAGTCTTCCTGGAGGAGTGGTACCAGAATGGACTTCGGATTTGTTCATCAGGGGATAAAATGGGAGCAAAGTCCCTGACAGAGGGAACAGCGTGAGTAAAGGCACTGAGGATAAAGCCACTGCATCCTGGGGGGCTGGCGGGGGGTGCTGACAACACACAGTGAGAAATTCAAGAGAGGGAACAGAGGGTGAAGCAGCTGAAGGGGGAAACAGGGCCTTGCAGGCCCTGCTGGGGATCTCTGACTTTACTCTTGCACATGTGGGATCCCCTTCTGTGATTCCAGGAGGGAA